AGAAAGGCATGTAGAAGAGCGACATTTGAACCAGATTTGGATAGAAAATTGGTTGGGAAAGTGAAGATGCAGGTTATTTCTGGCAGGGGAAGCAGCAGAGAAGCATTAGAAATGATAGCTCAGAAATACTGTGAGGAAGAAAGCATAGTATTTCTTCATATGCTAAGTTTAATTTTGTTTTCCTCTTAAATAAAGTGGCCTTCCAGGTCTTATCTAAGACGAGATCTTATATTGGAAAAAAACCCAAACAAACCTGGCTGTTACGATTACCTAGAGATTATTAGCGTAGAAATCTGAGTTACTTAAGATTTTTAGGAGTTCACCGGTGGCGCAGTGGTTAAGAATGCACCAGCCAATGCAGAGGACACGGGTTCGAGCCCAGGTCCCGAAAAATTCCACATGCCGCGGAGCAACTAAGCCCGTGAGCCACAGCTTCTGAGCCTGCGCTCTAGAGCCCGTGAGCCACAACTACAACTACTAAGCCCACGTGCCACAACTACTGAAGCCCGCGCGCCTAGAGCCCGTGCTCCACAGCAAAAGAAGCCACTAAAAGGAGAAGCCTGCGCAAAGCAATAAAAAGTAGCCCCCACTCGCTGCAACTAGAGAAAAGCCCATGCACAGCAACAAAGACCCAATGCAGCCAAAAATTTTTTTTTAAAGATTTTTATTCTACATAAAATGTTATAATAGCTTAACTGTCAGTAGCTGCCCAATGTTTGTTTTTTTTTTCATATTCTCCTTTGAATTTAGAATGAACATTTTGGAAATGTTGTCAACAATGCATAATAATATATTGGAATGCTTCCTAGCATTATCGGGGGAAAGAACAAATGAAAGTTTTAATTGACATAAAATACACATAGTTGAACAAACAACCCTGCAAAATGAAACATACTATCTGGGAATTTCTGATAAGAACATTGAAATCTGTTTATAAAAATTCTTTTGATATATTTTTGAAAAATCAGTTGCTTATAAGGAGAAATATTAATCTTTGTGATGTACTACCATACCTCCTATTCTTAAAGGGGAAAAAATGACACTTTAACACTATGCATGTGCAAGGGTATTCAATTAATATCTTTTTATTTAAAAAGCCACTAGTTGGAATCAGGTTTCATTAGACAAGTAATATCCAAACTTTGCTAATCAGAAACTGCCAGGTATAAAAATAGCAGGAATTTTTAAGTCACTTTAATACTGACATTTTTTGACTATCATAGACTTCTAGTAGTAACCATATTAATAATGTTAATTATTATTTTGTTATATAAGCCAAATATATCTTTAATATAACTTAGCAGAAAAGGAGTTTTTTGGTTTAATAGAATTAGATTGGCTATCGTTGGCTATTAGTTCCACTGGTTCGCAGGTTTGAGGAAGTATATTATCTAATGGCAGTGTCTATAAAAACAGCAAAAAGTTATCCCACCATAACAATCATCTGACATTTTATTTTATTTTATTTGGCCGTGCTGTGTGGCTTGCAAGATCTTAGTTCCCCCACCAGGGACTGAACCCCAGCCATGGCAGTGAAAGCACCGAGTCCTAACCACTGGACCACCAGGGAACTCCCATAAAAGATCTTTATTTTAAAGAAGAAGAATATATACGTTAGGTCAAGTTATTTGACCAGATTTCATGCAACCAGTAAAATGGCAGAGTAACAATCTGAATTTGGATTTATCTGAGTCTAGAGCTCAAGCTCTTAACCATACATATTCTGCCTACTCTTCAGTCATGCATGAGAACAATGATTTTATACATGCAAAGAATAAATGAGAAAATGTCTTCACCTACATGAAAGAAAGTTTATGTATAAATTTAAATGGCAGTTATTGGTACCAAACTACCACGTTATGTTCAATTTTGCACGTTTTTGCCTTAAAAATTAATTTCAATTTTAGTATACCACTAAATGTATTAGCATAATAATATGTAAATATGTACTTTAAAGATCCATTTCTGTATTTTCATATAGGAATCGTATATAAGCAGAAAGGAACTTTAGAAATTATCCTGTTATTCATATCATTTTAATTATCATGTTATTCATGTTATTAAAGGAAATCACAACCCAAACAAGTTAAATATCTAATGTGAAGGTATACAGTCCATTAGTGATAGAGATAGGAGACGTGCTTCTGGGTAATAAAAGACTACAGAGAAATGATCTTGGTTAGGTACAATTTGATCGAAAGTTTAGAAACATGTCAAACAATTCTATGTACAGTCATATGCCTGGGACTTATTAATACCAAATAAAGTTCAGTGGTGGTTTCAGGGGGAGGAAATACTTTTTATATTTCTGTAACATTTCACATTAAAAAATAATCACTTCAATAATACTGTCTAATTCTAGCCTTACTTGAATAAACAAAACTGCAGTATGGGAAAGCCAGCATGCTTACCTTGTCATGTTTAAGTAATTACTAGTACGAGCACCTGGGAAGATAGCGTCTCCCTACTCTGACTGCCACTTGCTTGAAAAAATCAGATTACAAGGGGTGGGGGGGGTGATGAATTGGGAAATTGGGATTGACATGTATACACTAATATGTATAAAATGGATAACTAATAAGAACCTGCTGTATAAAAAAATAAATAAAATTTAAAAATTAAAAAAAAAATCAGATTACAAAGTAAGTGGAACACCTTGAAGAAATGGAGCTATTTCCATGACAGCAGGCTCCACGACATCAGGTTCAACAGATCCCTAATCCTTAAGAGTAAAACAGTACAAAAGGGCAGAATTATTAATATGCTTTCTAATATAAGTTGAGGTTTTATTTAGGATATTAACCAGAGGTTTGATTGATGGTGCAGAAATAAAAGTAAAGATCATTGCTCTAAGGAAATAGGACTCCAGGTTGGGATACCAGATTTGCGGATCTCCACATTCCAAGCCATCTAATGGTCTTTTCTAGTTAGCTTGTGGAAGCCTACAATGGAGGAAAACACTGTTTATACTAGGATAAATCTGATAATATGTTGACAGGATATTAAACAGCAGTTCACTAAATGTTTGTACTTCTTAATGAAATTAAACCCTCCCATATAAAGTGTTTTCATGGTGTTAAATCCTTTCATTTTCTAAAAAAGTTTTTTTAAGAAAAAATAAATTTTAACTACTGCAGTTGCCTCATTTGTTAAGGGACTCGTACAATGCTATTTAAATAGTTCCTACCCATCCAACACCGTGAGTGAGAAGACCTGATTCTTGCCCAGGAAGAGTGTCAGTAGCCCTACCTTGTTTGCTGACTCCTTTCCTATACTGTGCCCCTACCTGCACACTTTTCTTAGTGACCTATGAAGGAAAGTGATTATGTGTAAATGCTACATTATGTGGCTCAGAGACATTGTATATCTCTGTTAATTTTCCCCAATTAAGTGAACAAAAACCAACAGGTCTAACCCCAGAGTCATTACCCTGACTTCCTGCTGTGTTCCTTGGAGGCCCTTTCTCTGCTTCAGATTGAGTTAAACTTCATCCTGTTGGAACAAGCACTTCCTAAAATATCCCAAGAAACTTACTATCGTGCATAGTAACAACTGGGAAGTTATCTTGCTTACCATATTAGAATAATTTGTTTTAGGTAATTAATACTGTATACTTCAGTTGTCAATTAGCTATCTTTTTTCTGTTCATTTATTGATTGAATAAACATTCATTCAGAACCGAGTGTGTATTAGGCACTGTGCCAAGAGATAAGGCTATGGAAATGCATAAGAGGAAGCATCTAATGGGGGAGACAGGCAGGTAAGTACTTACAATACAGTACAGCTGTTGAATCTGAGAATAGAGGGACACCAAGCTTGGCATGAGTGAGTCAGGAAAGATCCGAGGAAGTACAGCAATCGTCATATTTGCAAAATATTAATTCTTACCCTTTTAAGGATCTGGACTTTGAGACTCTGAGGAAAGCTTAGATTCTTTCCTCTAAAAAAAAAAAAAAAAAGCCAAAATTTTGCATATTATTTCATGTATTCACCTTGACACCCCATATATCTCAGGGTAAGCATTCCTGGTCTACAGACTTAATATTTTCAGTCCAAATTAACTCTGTAGCATAAATAGCCTATCCTTTTCCCTATTCTAAACCTGCTTTTTTCAGGTCTTTAAGTTAAATACTTTGTAATAACATTCTAGAATCTCACCACATCTTTATGTCTTTCATGTTATAGACTTTAGTTACCACCTCAAGCGTCGAAGCGTTTTTCTTTGCTAGCCCGTATGTCACAGTTGTGATTAATTCGTATTTTGTAAAGTTTTAGTTGATAATTTTTGTGTCACCTTTAAAAGGAAAGCACTTTGGGGACTTCCCTGGTGGTCCAGTGGTAAGACCCCGTGCTCCCAGTGCAGGGGGCCTGGGTTCAATCCCTGGTCAGGGAACTAGATCCCATATGCGTGATGCAACTAGGAGTTCGCATGCTGCAACTAATAAGTCCACATGCCGCAACTAAAGATCCTACATGCCGCAACTAAATATGCGGCAACTAAACATGCCGCAACAAAGATCCCCAGTGCCGCAACTAAGACCGCGTCACAGCCTAAATAAATAAATTTTTAAAAAAGAAAGCACTTTGGGTTTAAATTATCTTCCACCAATAACATAATTTTACTTTTGCCTTATTTCCAATTTTTTTCTGAGGTTTTTAGGTGCAAATTTTACCTTTGACTCGAAGATTCATTTATGACAAATTATGCTTATGTAAATGTACACTTGAGGTCAGTTATTAACAGTTATTAACTTAATCCTCTTTAAACCTTTAAAATAAGTTACATACAGCACGTGAACGTTTACCACGTGCGGCCACTGGTGCTGAGAAGCGCCTGAGAGTTCAGGAATGACCGAGGCTCAGAAGCTTCCGTCCTCCGAGGGGTGGCAGCCCAGGGCTCGGCAGGTGCCGTGGGTCTGGGAGGAGGCGGGGGACCCGGGCTCTGGGCTCGGGACTCAGAAGAGGAGCCGAGAATTCCCCCCACTTCCGCACGCCTCGGAGGTCTCCCACTCAGTACCTTATACCGATGTTCTGACTGGTTTGGTGTTTGTCATTAAATGAAGAGGAATTCGGGAAAGGAGGAACAGAGAGGGTCCCGGAGTTTCTTCAAGAACCGGCCGAGAGCCGTGGCTCCCGCGGAGTTACGCGAGAGCCTGAACGGAGTGAACGCGGACGCCGGGGCAGAGGCGCCGAGGGCAGCGCGGCTTTTGCGGTCGCCAAGCCGCGGGGTTTAAATCTCCCGCCTTTCGCAGCCGGAGCCCGACACCTCCACGCTCTGGTGCGGAGGGGCACCGGCTGCGGGTGCGGCTCGGCAGCGGCGCAGGGCTCGCGAGCGGCGGCAGCGGTAACGGGCGCCGGGACCGACCTCCGAGCTGCCGAACGCGACCCGAGGCGGCGGAGGACCGACGCGTCGCGGCTCCGGCGTCGAGGTGAGTGTCTGCGGCCTCCTCTGGCCCCCTCTCTCCGGGCGGAGGAAGGGCCGCGCCCTCCCCGGCGGAGGCTGGGAGGCCAAACCCTTGGTTTCCATGGCGACGCCCCAAGGTGGAGGGGCGGCGGGAGGGGACTGCCACGCGCGCACGCGGTCTCTTGGGGCTTCTCGCCGGCCTTCACGGTTCCCTTGGGGACCCCGGCCCCTGCGGCCTCCCCTCCCGGACGAGGTCCTGTCCGAGCTCCTCTGGGCTTACCCTGGGCAGATCGGACCAAGAGTAGTTTTAGGCGTGGCAGCGTCCCCTCGGGCCGAAGGGAGCTTCCACCCCCGCTCGCCCCGGGTAGCGAGCGAACGAGCGCAGGGGCCTGAGGCTTGTTTGGGTGATTTCTCGCGAAGGTGCGGATCGCTTCCATTAGAAGCAGATGCTCACGGCCTTTAGGTGCTTTCCTGCTGACCTCCTTTTTATGTTGTGCTTATGTTCATGTTATTATTTTGTAGTGGGAATGTCTTCCTTACAAACTAAATGGCTAGCAATGGGTAAAAACAAAACACAAGTAAATGTGCGGTTTAAGACAAAGTGCAGAAGGCGCGAGCTCCCGAGGGGTTCCGCGCACAAATCTCGCTGCCTGAGGCCTTTATCCCAGCGCCACGCACCGGTCCGGCTCGTGGAAACTGGATCATCTGGTCAGATGCCCAAATGATGTCAGCTGTCAGATACCTGATGCTCTGAGAAAGATGGAGAGTGGAAAAAAAATCCATCCTGGCAACTAACCCGCGATGCTGTGGATTTGCCAGTAGAGGGTGTGGGATTATTTTTCATGTAATAGATGATTTTGATGCACAGAGCATGAAAGCAATCATAAACTCTGGGTCACTGTGAAATAGCTTATTGGGAAGATAACGTTTATCCATCGTTTGGGGTTTTTTCTAAGTATTTATGTATTGATTTATTTGGTCACGACTCAGGCAACGTACTGTAAGGTGATATTACTTTAATCATCTTCACATCAATATTTATGGAGTAGCCACAGGTGCCCATCCTTTAGTAGGAGTTAATTATACATTTATTGGCCAAATAAACATCCAATAGTATGTATATATTTTTATATGACCAACCTTTTTAGTCGTTTTATATTCGTTGTGTATGCCTAATGTACTCAGTATTCTTTGAAATTTCTGTGTTTATTTAATAGTGCAAAATGATTGTACATCTTGACATTAAAACAGTTATGTGCAAGACATTGTTCTAATTACCAGTAATTAACGTTAGAGTTAGGTGGCTGCTCAGAGATCAGCCAGTCCAAAAACTACAAACATTGAGACTGGTGGAAAAACTAGGAAGCCATATTTTTATTAGAAATATTTATTATAAAAATAAAATTTATACCAATGACTGAACTAGTACAAAATATCAAAATATTAAATATCAGATATTAAACAGTATTGTTTTGTTCTACTGTGCTGTCAAACTTTATTTCATTGTGTGGTACATACTATATTAAAATTTTTTCCCTTTCCTTTATAGTTTACCTTTCTCAGTACTCACTGTACCTCCTTTAAATTTTTATTATTTAACAACAACAGGTGGGGTGTGTGAAGGACTTTTCAGTATGTCTGTGACTGGAAAGATTTCCTCATGTGAACTGGCTTTTGTTATTTAATAACATCCTTATTCGCCTTTTCCCTTGTTTGTTTTTCATTCATCTGTTAGGTTTCTTCCTTTTTTCTGAAGTCAGACTTTTCAAACTTCTTGCATCCAATATTCACCGTCTATGTAATTATTATTATTATTATTTTCCTATTGTAGACTCATTTGCAGATAACACTTTAGGTTTTAAAAGAATTTTTGTGTGTGGATTTAGTTTAGATTAAAAAAAAAAAAAAACCGAAGCCTCAAAACTGAATTACCACAATAAATACAGTTACAACAGCCAACATTAACAACTGTTCACATTGTGTCATATTTCTTTCAAATATATTTTAAATAAAGAAATAAAATATTTCCAATAAAGCTAAAGTTGTTTTTGTATCATACCCATTCTCTTCCTGCCCACTATAGATTGCTCATTTATATTATTCTTTTTTTCTTAATCTTGCTAGAAGCATGTAAATTTTAGTAATTTTTTCAAATGAACCAACTGATTTTCTCTATTTGCTTGTTTTCTATTTCACTGGTTTCTACTCTTATTTTTATTATTTTGTTTCTTCTACTTTGGGTTTACTGTGCTCTTCTTTTTCTAACTTCTTAAAGTGGAAGTATAAATAATTGATTTTGTACCTTTTTTACTTTCATATATTGATAGGTATTTAAAGCTATAAGTTTTCTTCTAAGCATGCTTTAGCTGCATCCCACAAATTTGGGTGTTTTCATTATCATTTAGCTTCAAATATTTTAAAATTTCTCTGTCACCTGTTATTTATTTAGATGTGTTACTTTACTTCCAAATACCTGGGAATTTTTTTTTAAATAGATCACTGCTATTGATTTCTAAATTAGCGTTGTTGGTGTCAGAGGACGTACTCTGCACTATTTCAAAACCTTTAAATTTATTGAGTTTGTTTGTTTGTTTGTTTTCTGCCTATCCTAAGGTCTGTCTTGGTGAATGTTCCAGGTACCCTTGGGGAAAAAATTTGTATTTGGCTGGTGGTGGTGGTGGAGTGGTCTATAAGTGTCAGTTAAGTCAAGTTGGTTGAAAGTGTTGTTCAGATCTTTTAAATCTCCACATGTTTTATGTCTCCTTATTCAGTCAGTTACTCTGGGGGGAGTGTTAAGTCTCTAATTATGATTGTAGATTTGTCTGTTTCTCCCTTTAGTTCTGTCAATTTTTTTCTCATATTTCATGGCTCTGTTATTAATTACATACATATTTAAGATTGCTATGTCTTTTTGATAAATTGACCCTTTTATTATTATGAAATGGTCATCTTACCTCTGAAAATACTTTTTACCTGGAAGCCTGTTTTGACTGACATTAATATAAGCTTAATGTTTGTCTCATATCTTTTTTATCCTTTTCCTTTTAACTCATCTTTATTTATGTTTAATGTGTGTTTCTTATAAACTTATATAGTTGGGTTGTACTACTTGTTATCTAGTCTTACAGTCTGCCTTTTAACAGTATTTATATCATCCACTTATGTTTTTGTAATTGTTTTCTGTGTTTGGATTAAGCACAAAATATTGGTGTTCTTTTTCTGTTTTCCTGCTTACTGTTTGGTCCTCTCTCCTGCCTTCTTTCTAGTAAATTGAGTTTTTTAAAAATATATTCTACTTTTTCTCCTCTCTTGACTTTTTAGTTTTGCCTCTTTGTGTTATTTATTTTTATTGATTGTGCTAGAGATCACAATATGCATCTTGAATTTATAAAGCCTATTTTCAAATATATTCTAGTACTTCATGAACAATGTAAGAGTATTACAACTTAGACTTCCATTTATCATCTTTTTATCTTTTCTTCTATTATATATTTTATTTCTACATATGCTTTATATTTTTTATTTTTAAAGAATCAATAATCTTTTAGTGAAATTTAAAGATACACATGTATATTTTCGAAACTTTCTTTGTGTTTATCAGTATATATTTACCCTTTTTGATTTCTCTCTTGCTTCCTGTAGAACTGAGTTTCTATATATTATCATTTTCCTTCACCCTAAAGAATATTTAGGATTTTTAGTAGTGTGGGTCTCCGTGGGATAAAGTCTTTCAGTTTTTATCTGTCTGAAATTTTATTTTCCTTTCATTTTTGAAGGATATTTTTATTGGGTATAGAATTCTTGGCCAACTTTTTTCAGGACTTAAAGATGTAGTTCACTTGTCTTTTGTCCTTTTTTTTTTTTTTTTTTTTTTGTAATTCTTTTTTTTTTTTTTTTTTTTTTTTTTTTTTTTTTTTGGTCAAGCAGTTTCCTTCTCTTCCTACTGTTCTGCCAAAGATGAAAGGAGTCATGAGTCCTAGGCAGGACTATTCACTTTCTGGATTTAAGTTCATTAGCTTTTTTTTTTGGCATCCTCAGCTCTCTGATTGGCTTTAAGAAAACACATAATTTTGTAGGTTATCTATCAATAGTTTATTCTCATTGTTAGGATGGGAGTTCTCTTAACTTTCTGAAGTAGAAGTGGAATACCAGTACAATACTGATTTAATTAATATTACTTAAAAATCCCTTTATTACTCTTATTTTCCAGATTTTTGAAAATTGGTGAGTTGTAGTGAACAAGCACTTTCCTACATTACTGGTACTGGGCATAAAAATTGGTATAATCTCTATGGAGGACAATTTAGCAAAATGAGAACAATTTAAAATGCATAAACCCTTTGATTCAGCCCTTATACTTCCAGGAATTTATTTTATAGGTATACTTGCATGTATTTAAATATATATATATATTTACTAATTTTAGCATGGTTTGAAATAATAAAATTCTGGAAGCAATCTAAATATCCATCAATAATAGACCAGTCAAGTAGATTATTGTACATCCATACACATGGAATGTTATATATCCATTAAAATTGTATTTCAGCTACGTAGAAAATTCCATGTTATATTCTTTTTCCCTTAGTACTGTACAGTCTCACTTTTATCCATTCTCTAATGTGGCTGAAGAGATGCCTGAGGCCAGGATAAACTATTTAATTTGTAGGTGGCCCTCTTTTTTTCTGTCTAGATGCTAGTAGCATTCTTTCTTTACCCTTAAAATTCAGCAACATTCCACAGCATGTCTTTTTTTTTTTTGCGGTATGTGGGCCTCTCACTGTTGTGGCCTCTCCTGCTGCGGAGCACAGGCTCCGGACACGCAGGCTCAACGGCCATGGCCCACGGGCCCAGCCGCTCCGCCGCATGTGGGATCCTCCCGGACCGGGGCACGAACCCGTGTCCCCTGCCTCGGCAGGCGGACCCCCAACCACTGTGCCACCAGGGAAGCCCCCCACAGCATGTCTTATTCTTGATCATTCTCTATTAATTTTTCTTGGAACACGGTGAACCCTTTCAATTTTC